ACACCACTCTGAGATTCATATATTAGTTGTTCAGACTTATATTTACTTGTATGAAGAGGGCGTACATTCTCCAGTCCAAGACCTTTTGTAAATGGAGCCCTTCCTGTTGCAATTAATGCTGCATCTACCTATAGTAAAAGTAACAGTGTATATTTTTAGCATGTACCACAAAACAAAGTGAAGAGGAAACGAAGAAAGTACTTGCCAAGGGACGATAAGCTTGTTATATTGAAGTTTTAAGAAAGAGGTGGAAGTTGGTTTTGGAGAAAATCAAAATTTGACAACTTAAAGTTGATTAATTTTTTTTTTTGCGCTTATGCCCCTCAGCACTAGAAGTAATTTTGTAATAAATGGTCATTTTGTTAGCAACAGATCTTTGTCTAGCCCTTTCTTCAACTTAAGAAACCTAATTCCAACATCAAAGATAACAAATAATAAGAGTTAAGTGTGATTAAAAAATTTCATTTTTCAATCTTAAAATGGAATGTTTGGAGAAGACGCTAGTTTGGTTGAGTCCACAAACAGGACACTTTGTCGACACAGCATGGTTTTGCTCCATCCATGCACAGCTAAAAGATAAATTGGAGAAGAAACAATTTCGTTACAGTTGATGTCTAGTCCATACCAGTATCTTATAATTAACGTGTGAATGTAATAGGAAAGCAAATTCCTCAAGCTACATTGAATACTACCAAGACAAACTTTGGTTGGCAGACTGCTGGTGATCAACAGTTATGTAGAATGTCCTTCAGCCGATATAAAAATGTCACTTGCAGAAATTAACATTTTTGGAAGTTGGCACGGCTAGTTGAGTTTTAGATCTTATAATGTGATTGGTATAGTTCCTTAAATCACGGTAGCTGGTCTATTGGGATGGGGGGCGGGGAAGAAGAGAACTATTACCTCCAAAGTATCTTTAGGTTCTTTTGTCTTGGCATCAGTAAGCTCAATAATAACTGGTTTCCCATCCTCGGCAGGAGTTATCTATCAAGTCACAGAAAGTGAGCGAAATATTTTGAAGGTATATACTTGCACAATTAAGCAATACCTTGGTCGCAAATACTCCAGTGTGGTAGTCAATCTTTCGTGGGTTTATCAGCACTCTCTGAGCTAACTTTCCAATCTCAGGATCGAATCCAGGCATTAGCTGATCTAGAGCTTCAATAAATGTAACCTTCCAAATACCAATAATAAATTTACCTGAGTTTTAACAGAAGTTAATTCTGTGGAATAGAATTGAGGGAGAAAAAGGCAAGGCGAACAGATGGGGTGAGAATTTAATTGCAATACTGGTTATAGTGTCAAGGCACAAATTAGAGGATTTGGAAAACGCTTTGACGAAACAATATTATCAAGCAAGTTACACAAAATAAACAAGGATCCATAATTTAAACAAATTTACAAGTACAAGGGAATTTGATGACATCATAACTAGAAAAATTGGAAAGTTCAGAAATCATACAACCAAAATTTAGAAGGCAAGAATATTGATTTAAAGAACATTTATTTAAAGCAATTTTCCTTGCGTGTCATATACTTTGGCTAAATGAATAAACAATGAACTTTATTAGCGTTCAGTTGAAGTCTCAAATCTAAGAGGCAGTAACAGCAGCTGGCGACATCATATAGAAATAACAAAGGAGAAATCGGCTGGAAAATTTGAAATGGCAAGTAGATCAAGGTAAAAGCGCCACAGGAAAAGGAAATGAGAGGATCTATAGCACTAGTTATTTCATTTTATCCGGAATTAAACCATTCACCGCATTTGGTTAATTCAAAGCAAAAAAAGACATTTCAAATAGTAACATTACCTCACTACCAAGTGCTGTATATACGTCACTGAATTCAAGCCCAATATATCCACTTCCAACTATGGCAACCCAATCAGGAACAACTTCCAATTTGAGAGCATGATCACTTGTAATTACAGTCTTCCCTGCAACAATAGCCAGAGTTTAGAAATGCTAGATTTTGCTATTAAAGAAACAAATATAGCAAAAATAAGTTATATATCTAGCAAAATTAATAAAAAGCTGCAAGATTTATTTGTTGAGGTGATTCCTTTACAAGTAGTTAAGCTATTAATGTATAAATCCTGTTAAAATTCAAAATCCACCCTTTCCCCAATCTCTCTTGCAGCTCATAACAGTTTTCCCAAGTTCCAATCTCCCCTATGCTCCTCGACCATATTATCAAGTGAAAACACCATATTCGCATTGCTTCTAATAATGTCAACCAATAAATTCATGCTATCGATTAGGAAACAGCAAATTGTACGGTACATGTCTTTTTAATTTCTTTATTCCATTTTTTCTTTCTCTCTTTCTTCCTATTTTTTCAAGTGGAAGGTGTCTAAACATGCAAAATTATGGCACTTGCAGAATTTTAGCTGCAGGGATTACAAGCTTCCATGTACCATTCCTTTCTGACCACAAAAACTTAAGTCATACAAGTAAAATGCTCCAGTACAGTCTTCTTGCGGAAAAAAAAGAAAGGGAAAAGCTCGTGCAAGTTTGCAAGCCTAATCAACTTCTTCTGCCAATATCTCATATATATTTCAGGTGATTAGAGCTGCAAAAATGAGCAAAGCAATCTAGGCTTCTAACAGTTTGGTGCCACCAAACATTATTGATGAACATGAGGCCGTCTCACTTGCATGCGTATAATTCCTATTGCGGTTGTTAAGTACTCATATTATACATGTACAATATATGGATGCATGAATGACTACAAAACTCCCATTTTCAACATATTTTCTGAACTTATTGACAATACTCATTCTCATGAGCTGAGATGTGAAGTTCATGCATTGCACTCGGCAATCAATAATTTGACAAAAGTCTACTTCAATTTTAACATAAATATTCTGAAAACAGAAATTAATTATAAGCCTTCCTTAATATTAGCATTTTTATCGAGATAGAAAAACCACTTTTGGCCGAATAGTTGACGGTAATTAAAACGATATCGTGTTTATCTATAAATGTAAAGCATTTCAAAAATTTAAGACTAGGATTCATTGATTATCTAGATTTAAATTAAACTGTGATGTGAATACATTCAATTCAAATAATTCTTGAAAATATAGGAAATGATATAAATATTTCCCAATTTCGCATTTTTGGCCTAAATTTTCACTCAGTACTGAATACCAAAGTAATTTCCCTCTCATTTTTTTACCATGTTTTCAATGAAGGGTTTGAACGGTATGGTACTGTAGAATCTCACAGATTTAAAACTTGCGGCATGCCCCAAGTTTTGATTGAAAAAGTGTCAAATGAAACGGCTTGCATATTTTGACAACTTTCCCATGAAATCAACCTGTCTTCAGCATCAAATAAATTGCCAGTTTTGTAGGTAGAGAGTTTTGTGAACAAAGTGAACTGCTGGAAAATGCAGAGTAAAGCGAAGATTACTTACCATCAACCTCAATTCCTTTGGGGACAAAAGGAACAGATCCAGTAGCTATAATTATATCTTTTGCAGTAATCACGTTGTCAGGAAAGCCAACTTTTCCATATTTGATCTTTTGAGGACCCTGAAATTGTTACGAGTGATATAGACAGTTGCCCTGAGGGTGTATATAAACATGATAAAAACTGTAGAATCTTAAAATAACATCTTCTTATATTATTAAGAGATTTGGCTTAATAATTGACTGGATAAGAACTTTTGGTTTCGGGTTTTCACTAATCCCATATGAAAACATCCAGGACTTACCAGTATTGTGCCAAATCCTGTTAAAATGTCTACACCAAGGGCCTTCATTGAATTAGTCAAATTATTACGAATTTTTGAAGCAAGGTTATTAGCATGGTCAGCAACTGCCTGCCTGTCATACCCAGCAGCTGCAACCTATCATTAGTTGTACGAAACATAATGTCAAGTTTGATAAAATTTGACAACAAATAAAATATAATGCAATAAAATGTTAAAGGCAACTGTTAACAAGAGCAGACTATATCGTTATCTGCAACTAGCACAATAGAGCAAATGCATTAGCTAATCCACACAACTAAAAATAAATAAAAAAATATTGTTTCTGCTATGCAACATCAACAATAACTCTCATTTGTTTATAATTTTAGCAGGGGTGCCAGGGAAATTTAATAATATAAAAGATCTTTCGAAATATTTTGCCAACAAATCTTGATAGAATACAAGTATGTTGGGCAACCCAAAGGTTATCTATTATAGACAATAAGTATCTTTTTAACATCTACACTGTCAACAGTCTAGATTGCAGGCGAGATATTTCTGGCTGCAACAAAATCCTAAGATGGGTAATATTTAATAGAAAGTGAACTTAATCTCCAGAAATGACCGGAAAATTAAATAAATAGAAGTTCCAGATTAAGTGTATTTCTTTATTCACCTGCAGGCCCAAAGCCTTCATGTGATGCTCATCTTGAAGTTCACGCATCCTACCGCTTACTGCAAGCAAAGCTTTGGAAGGAACACATCCTCTGTTCACACATGTTCCACCCACTACATCTCCCTCAACAATAGCCGTTTTAAGACCCTGCAAGTACATGATTCAACTCCTGAGCATACAACGATAAGAGCTGGAAATATGCATAGACACTTGGCAAGAGAAATCACACCAACTGATATAATGCCCATGTAGCAGATTCAGGCTAAATATCGTGCCATTGTTGAAAAGAACAAAGCTGAAGTCCGAATATATCTAAACTGTAATCATCAAACATATTTTATTATCCAGTTCAACAGATAGTAGCAAATATCAAATTACCAGCTCGTCAATGTTTACATGCAAGGGGTATTTTCACCTGAGCTAGATAAACCAAGTATCCAATTTAAACCACGACTATATTCTTAAAAAGCACAGATTCAGCATCCAATGACTGAAGTGGCTAAAAATTATTCTTAAGACTAAAATTTGTAGTAAAAGATGCAGCTAATATAATCATTCCAAAGCATACAGAAGATGGATATATAATAATTGTAATCTGTATCAACAGTCAACAGTGCCTTGACAGAATCAAAGTGATGAGAATACCCAAAAGTCAATTGAAATCTTGGACATTTTCTACAGGGAAAAAATGCGCAGTTAAAAAATTTAACTAAAATCAAGCTTACAGCCTCAGAACAAAAAAATAAAAATAAAAAAATAAAGAAAAACACCAAAATTTGAGTTTAATTTCTTTTGATATGAAGCTTAAGATTAAGGTATAACTTTTACCTAATTCAGACGGTTTGACAAAACCGAAGCCAAGGAAACGCCCAAAATGGGTTAAAAATCATACACACTTGCTCAATCAGTCAATTGATCACAATTCAACAGTA